ACTTTGACAATGATTTTGTTGCCAAACTAGTATTAGTTATTAGTCCCAAATGGCCTTATTATTATTACACTTCACCTTACTATTACCTAATGTCACTAAAGTCTTTAAAAACATGTGTAAGTGTCTTAGTCACCGCCTAAAGGAAAGAAAATCACACTTTTTATGAGCCTTGTTCAACCGTGGACGACCCCATGTCACGTCTGTTAGCCACCTTTATGTATCAATGCCACGCAAATATTTATTGTCAGACTTTTTTTCTTTTAACTTTAAAAGAGAGATCTGTACAGAATATATATTCTGCACCTGAGTCTTAATTGCTGTGTTCATATGATTATTCAGAAACAATTAGTTATCCTGCTTGACAAATCACAAAAGTTAGTCTAACGGCTGTTTATTGACAAAACTAGTACATTAGCAGTATTTAGGGCTTCGTGCCATGATGTTAGGAAATGCATGAAACGGCATGAAAATAATATATATACGAGTTTTATGCCAAAAAAAATGTTATTTATATATTTTGAGATGATCCTGAAGTGTGACCTACTGTCTGTTAAAATGTGCCATAGCTTGTTTTATCTTCCTGCAACGCATTAATTTATGTTTTGTTTTTTTCTTTTTAAATGTGAAAATCTCACAACGGAACAACAAATATGTTACAACCTCACTTTCCGCTGCATGAAATGTTGTTGGAACCCTGTAAATGTATGAATCACGTGTATTTTTTTCTTCTTTTTTTTGTTTACATTTTATTTACTATTAAAAAAAAAAAGGGAAGGAGCTGTTTACGATATGCTGGTTTATTTCCTGTAACTGTCTTGTAATCACCACAGTATTAAAGCAAAGGAGAAAGAGGGACTTGTACTTCTTCCTGCTACGCTCCACATTACTGCTCTGTATAATAAATGCAGCGTCTTCACTGTTTTTCTTCCCTTGTTGCCGTATTTCCACCCTTCAGGCCTCAACATTGACCTTCTTTGTCCATTATTTATACGTTTCTCCCTCCTATTTGCCATCCTTACTCCCACCTCCTCACCCTTTCCCTCTATATGTTTTTATTCTATGCTGCATTATCCAGCATTTATTCAGATGATGTCTGAAAATCCCAAGGTGACTCCAGTGTTTTTAATAATACAGTCAAACCAAAAGGAACAAAAATAGAGTTTTGGAAGAAATAATTAATTACGCATCTAATACAGTCTCATGAGGGATGTTTTCAATTTGATTTCTTTGCTTTTCAAGAGTAAAAACCTCAAAAGATTCTAAAAACAAAGCCAAAAACATTCAGTCCAATCACTGTGATCAGCTTCACCTAATGAAAATCTCTGTGCACAGCGTATCTCTGACCTTTCATCCATTTCAATGTAAATAATGCTGCCTCCACACCTCTGTCCGCCTACACTTTCTGTGCTCTTTCCCCTTCGTGCAGAATGAAAATAACCACATCAGACGTTTGCTGCTCTTTTCCCAGTGTTGTTCTGCAGCTTCCACATCACATAGATGGATGTGCAGATGCTGTTTCTCTATAGATAAACCCCTTCATGCTCCACTGCTGCTGCACACTGACCTCAGGCCACGCAGATCCAACAATAGCCCACACACTGCTTTGATGCACATTATGTGCCGTTATCAGTGATCCATCTCCGAAGACGCAACCCCGCTAATGGGATGTGCGATTCGTCTCTGCCCTGTTTCTGTTTATATCCCTCTTGCATTGATTCCCAACTTCTCGTTTGTTTCCCTTCATCTTTGACCCTCATTTATAAAATGAAGACATTATTTACTGCAGCTCAAAGAGTTGCTTCGAGGAAAAACCTGAGTTTAGTTTTAAATTCTTCGGGCTGCACCACATTTAACTCATGAAATAGTGATGAAGTGGATGGTGCTCCGGGGTAAATGAGAGCGCGTTTAGATGATATTTAATAAATGAAGGCCTCTGCTGACTCTGTAAATGCTCACATATGCTGACCGGTGTAATTTGTAAATATATTCCTTGCTGCTTTTTCGACCTCTGTCTCGTTGTCTATCTGAGCTGTCAGTATGTTTACCTGTACATCCCACATGCTGTAATGCAACTCTTCTGTCACTTTTGAAAACTGCAGCCTTCTAGCCTGATTTAACCATTTATTTACCACTTTTGATGTGTGTTTGGGGTGTCGCCTTGTTGAAACACCCAACTGTGTCCAAGACCCAGCCGTCAAGCTGATTATTTTAGGTTTTCCTGAAAAATCTGGAGCTAATCATCCTCCTTGATTATTCAATGTACTTCATGTAAAGCACCAGAATAGGCCCAGAGCATAATACTGCCACCACCATGCTTGACTGAAGGTTTGATGTTCTTGGGGTTATGAAATCAGTAGCATTGCGCCTGACAGTATTTGACAGCGATATGGAGCATAATATTGTTTTGCTGTGTAATATTACATGTTACCTACATGTAGAAAACAACTAAATGGACAGATCTAAGTCATGGTGATGGACCCGTTTAGGAGACAACGAAAGTGAACGTTTTGAGTGTCTTGTCTATTCCAGACGTTCATTCCACAAAACTTGCAGCCAAGAGACTTTGCTGGGCGTCAGAACAGTGAGCGGTGCTGGAATTGTGGCGATCGGTTGTGATTTGGACATCAACACGGAGTCCAATCAGAGACTAACAACGGAGGAGGAAGAGAGCCGGGATCAATGCTAGGCTAAAGGCTAACCCCTCCAGACCAGCAGGATCCATGCTAGGCTAAAGGCTAACCCCTCCAGACCAGCAGGACCGTCCTCCTGCTCTCCAATGTCCGCTCCCTCCACAACAAGCTGGACGTTTGCTGAGAGAAACCCACAGAGAGTGGAGGGACTGCTGTGTGTCTGCTTTAACAGAAACATGGCTCCATGACAGCATCCCAGAAGGACAGACAGCTGGAGGGGATGCAGACAGACAGACAGCAGCTCTGGGCAGCATCAGCAGCTTCACCATCGTCACACCATCATGTGTGTCTTTGTGTCCCTAAAGACCTACCAGGACCTGAAAAGGTTCTCCATGTTCAACATGATGGCAGCGTGCATGGAGGCAGCGCCCCCTTCAGGAGACAGCGAGAGTGAACGTTTATCCCAGACGTTCATTCTGCAAAACTTGCTGGTTGAATGATCCTGAAGAGAGGCTCTCTCGTCTTGCCTGTACTACTGTGTATGTACAGCAACATGACAATAAACCTGATCTGATTTGATTTGAAACCCATAATCAATATTTTATCATGTGTTAATGTAATTCAGGCTGTATCTCAGATAAAGCCCAAGGCGCAATGCAACTGACTTCATGCAGATGGGTCACATATATCCTTCATTTATGATGCCATTCCTGTACAGATTCCTCTAATTTCATCTCCTTCCTTTCATGGATCATTGTTTCTTCCATCTTTCGTTCTCCGGTTCATTTCTCTGTTTAGTTTCTGCCCAATCTCTGTGCTGTCCTTATGACTCCCCACTACTTTACTCCTCCTTGTTCCCTCATTGTCCTCTTTTTCTATTCAGGAAATAAGAAAGACACAAAGGCTTCTTTCTCCCAGACTGATTGAATCAGTCGACGGTAATGAACCAAATCACAAATGTGGACTTAAAGCAGGAAATCTGCCATTTCAAGGCCTGGATTTCTGCTCCTTGGCTGGTTCTATGTAATGTTCTATTTGGACAGATCACATGTGTGCACACCAGTGTTGTACAGATAAACCTAAACTAGTAAATTAACCTAAATTATACA